TTCTTCCCGACGCCTGTGAACCCCTAACCCAAGGCGCCGAAGCGCTCGTATACCGGACACACTTCCTCACTCCTCAGACACCAGCGGTCCTCAAATACAGACCTCCGAAGCCTTACCGTCATCCGACTCTCGATAAAAGGCTTACGAAAGCGAGATTACTGGCCGAGGCACGTGTGCTGGTGAAGTGTCGACGGGAGGGCGTGAGTGTCCCGGCGGTGCTGGGGGCGGATTGGGAGGGGGGTTGGTTGGTGTTGGAATATGTGGGTGGGGGGACGGTCAGGGGGGTGTTGGATGGGTGGGTGCATCGGTTGCCTGAATTGTCGAGAGAAGGAAACTCAGAGACAATTTCTGAGGGACGAAAGAAATCAGAAGAAGAAGAAGCCCTGTGGGAGCTAATGCGCAAGGTCGGCCGTGCCGTAGGCCGACTCCACGAGATCGGAGTCTGTCATGGGGATTTGACAACGAGTAATTTGATGGTTAGAGATGAGGAGGAGTACACGGAGAATGAGACGGTGAAGAAGCATGCGCTGGAAAAGATTCCCAAACCAAGGCGAGGCCGTGGGACTGTCTCCGCTATGCGCGAAGACGCCATCACTGCCGCCGACTCTGCTTCTCCTGCTCAACCCCCATCACCTCCTCCATCCCAGGAACCGAAAAAGAATCTCCCGCCCTCCGGCGATATCGTTCTCATCGACTTCGGCCTCGCGACGCAGACTATACAAGACGAAGATAGGGCTGTTGATCTTTATGTGCTGGAAAGAGCGTTCGCGGCCACGCATCCGGCTGCTGAACCGCTATTTCAAGAGGTACTGAGAACTTATGGGGGAAGTTTTAAGGGTGCGAAGAGTGTGTTGAGGAGGTTGGAGGATGTGAGGTTGAGAGGGAGGAAGAAGAGTATGCTTGGGTAATGCGTGGAGGGGAGAGAAGAAAGGTTGATGATATCCACTTAATGCCAAATATCTCAAATTCCAAGTTAACAAACCCAGTCGCCAGTGAGGATTGGAATTGGCTATGCTCGTTACTTCCCCATACACTTAACACTCACTCATAGAATCTAAAGTCTTAGCATCTATAAGTACTATGTTTCTTCCTTATAACTTCTCTTTAATAAAAAGCGGTTCCCTATTACTCTTTCTTTCTAAAGTTGGAAAACCATCTCCTTTCTCCTATACCTAGGCCTAAGAAGAATAAGATCGCGTCTTCTAAACTCTTAAGACCCGATGCATGTACATTTAATAAATTCCTATTATCTTTACCAGAGCCTTACATATCTATACCTTTTTACCTTCTAACTCCTCCCGAGACTCGGCTTCTCGATTAAACGATATACTACTCACCGCGGTGCCGAACCGAGGGGGCCCCACAGGCCAAGCGCTTCTTCCAATGATAACCAGTACATCCCTCTTCGAGCGATCAAAGTGAGCTCTTCAGCGATACTAGAGTATCATTGAGCGATATATATCGCGTGAGTGCCGGCTGAAGGGCGCGAGAATCCCGGAGGTCCAATGCACTTTCATTTTCCAGCCACAACAGCCCTTCATCCTCTTCCCTCTAGCACGAGCCCCCCCCCGGAGACAGCAAGAAGCGTGGGAAATATTGCGGACAGGCTTTAAAAAGAAAATGTAAGGAATTCAGGGCCCCTCAAGAAGAGATGTTGCAACAAACATGGAAACTCTTCGAAAAAGACGTGGGGTAATGAGGAAAGTGAGGGAGAAAAGGTGTGAGCCTGGTATGAATAGAATAGAATATGGAAACCTGTATTTGGTATAAGAGAACCACGTAGCCAAAGCCATACACTTGTAATCAGTACTCTCATTTTGAAGCACTGACTCATGTCGTCATCCTATAGCATAACCCTCTTCAAAGGATATCCTTCTACCTCTAAACCTCAAAAACTCCACCCCACCCCGCCCTAACATCCACAAAATCCGCCCTCCACCCCTCCCAATTCTTCAACCCCCTCTTAACCTCCCTGACCCTCTCCAGCCTCTTCCTCTGCTCCTCCTCCTGCGCCAACCTAAACGCATCCTCATCGAACTCGAAATCATCCAAGCTGCTCAAGCTCTGCTGCCTGTCTCTTCCATGCGCCATAGATTGGCCGCGGTGGTGCGTTTGCCTTGTGAAGGCAGAGATGCCGGAATTGATGACGTCCTGGAAGGAGGAGCCGATGCGGCCAGCGGCGGGGGAACGTGGTTGTTGGTGGCCCCCGGAGAGGTCGACATCTTGGAAGCCGGAGGAGGAATAGAGGCGTGCCTCGTGACCTGCGTCAATGGGTGGTTGCATTTCTTTGCGGCGGTCACGCCATATACCTCTCCTGAGTTCGGAACTCTCTTCTTCCAACTCCCTGATTCGGGCCATCAGGCGCTCCCTTGATTCATCCACCAACTCATCAACACCTGAGTCGTCGATGGAAGAAATTTCCGCCTTTCTACGTCGCTGCTCTGCCTCTCTTAACCTAGCATTCTCGTTGCTTAGGCCAGTGATCCGAGTCCGGAGTTCGGCGACCTCGCGCTCCACTTTTTGGTGCTCGCGTTGGCGCGTTTGGTTGCGAGCATCGTTCTCGCGGTGTAGTGTAGTGAGTGTTTCCACCTTCTTCTCGAGCAAATCAGCACGAGATACCTCATCGGACGCCTTCCGGGTTGCAGCACCAAGTTCGGCTTCGAGCTGAGCAATGCGAGTCTCCGCCGAGTTCCTGGATGAGCCTTCTTTCAATGCTTCTTCGCTCGCCTTTTCGAGGTTCGCTTTCAGATCTAAGAGTTCGGTCTTAGAGGCGTCGGCCGCTTGTTCTGCCTTCTCCAATGAAGACTGTAGTACAGTAATCTGGCCTTGAAGGTCGCTAGTCGTATTGGTCTGCTCGGTAAGCTGCTTGTGGAGATTCGAAATTTCTAGCTCGAGGGACTCAATCGTGGCGGATTTGGAGGCGACCTGCGCGTTTAGATCGTCAACGGACGCGGATGGGAGAGGAGATGCTGTGGTATTGCGGCGGGTTTTTTAACTCTGCGTTTGAAGATGTGATAGCTGGCGTTGGAGAGAAGTAACTTCTGCTTTCTGCACCGCGGATTAGCAAATTTCTGAACTCTGCGTTTGAAGATGTGATAGCTGGCGTTGGAGAGAAGTAACTTCTGCTTTCTGCACCGCGGATTAGCAAATGCTCGAACTCTGCGTTTGAAGATGTGATAGCTGGCGTTGGAGAGAAGTAACTTCTGCTTTCTGCACCGCGGATTAGCAAATATCCCATACAAGAAACCCTTTCTAGGCCTCTCAGATGTAATGGAATTCATACCAGTTTCTCCACCTCTACACCCCGCTCAGCCGCCAGCGCCGCATCACCCCTCCCTGCCCTCAATTCCTCCAGCTCTTCCTCCATCTTCTTCCACCTCTCCTGCGCACCCTCCGCCTCACCCGTTAACCGCCTATTCTCCTTCTCTAGCTCCTCGATCCGCTGTGCTTGCTTCCGATATATATCTCCGACCGCATCACCACCCTGAGTGGGTGAAGTCGGCGTAATCCCCGCATCACCACGATAGAAGGATGCAGAGCGAAGGCGGGATTCGACGGCAATGGAGGGTTTGCGACCATGCGAAGGTGTGGTGGAATTGGGTAATTCGGAGGGTTCCTCAGACTCCTCTGGCTCGGCAGGCGCAGGCTCAGCTGTCTCTGTAAAGGTTTCTAGAGGAGTCTGTTCCGTCCTCTCTTCCGCGTTCTCCTCTAATTTCTCCTCCGTTTTGTCGGTGGAGGTGGACGGCTCGGCCTCTATAGTTTCAGGCTTTTCCTCCTTTTTCTTGCCCTTCTTCGCCTTTTGCTTCTTTAATTGCTCGTACTAGTGGCCTCATTGTTAGCAATTTAATTCAACAGTAAACTGACGTCTTTCATCACCGCTAGAGAAGAAATAGCATCGAGAGGGGAGCTCGACCGTCCGGTTCACCGCCGCACCCCCGCGAGGAGTTCCTTGACAGCACTTACTCGTTTCTTTGCTGCCGCGACCTTTGCGGCCTTCTCTTCGTCCGTTTCTGCCATGTTGAATTGAGTATTGTACTGTTAGTTGTAGTGTGGTGTATGGAATGTAATTGGGACGCTGAGGTTCCCTGATGCCAAGTATGACCTCGGAGCTTATTGCGCTAGCGGGATTAGGAAGTGAGCACCAAGGAGGCCTCGATAGCGAACTGCAAGGGAACGTGAGCATTGGAAGAGTGGACGAACTAGTAGTTTGCTATGAGTAAAGTTGTTCAGACACGAGGTTATCCATCCTGAGGTCTGTCTGACTTATTACTTGGTAGAATTAACACATAAGCACCCTGTATATCCGCATTCGAGGACGGCAAACACTCGGACATGTCCTGGCATTCTGCCCCAACTATATCCAACCCCGTGCGAATCTTCTTCTAAAGACAGGCACTACAGAGCTTCAGAAGATATTGAAAGAGAAGAGAATGGCAAAATAAGCTGCACAGTGGCTCCTAGAAACAAACATACTTGAACAATTCCAAGTTGCAAGGAATACCATAAAAGAGAATACAGGGGACTGGGCCCCCTTCCAACTAACCCAAGTCATGTCATAATAACCTCTCTGTTGCCTGAGCGGCAGCACTGGCAGATAGGGAACAACAATCAGTAGCTGGTGAAGCAACTCACCATAGCTATATTGAATGGTTTAGGGTGAGGAAATGGCGAATATTTTTGGACTCTAGAAAGTCATTCCTCTAGAGTCGGATTTACTTCGATCTAAAAATTGATTCTACGTGTTCATAGACCCGATTGGGAACCAGGTAGCACGTTAAATGGAATTATTATTATTATATCCGCATTCGAAGTCGACGGCCGGAAAACCAAACAAAGTGAGAGCAGACAGGTACGCGCTCTCTCTCCATGTTCAAAAAGAATGTCCCGAAGGTTGTACAGCTGCCACTAAAGTGCAAATAAAAAGACTTTTTCTCCTCTACGGTGTTTGTGCAATCCAGGAGCGAATGCAAAACAAAAGAAAAGAAGAAAAAAGAAGAGATGGGCTCAACCGTGATTCGAACACGGGGCCTCCTGCAAGTTTGAGCGACTAACCCAAAGCAGGAATCATACCACTAGACCATTGAGCCGAATTTGTTTGATGGTATATTTTAATTTTATTAAATTTATTAATGACAAATAATGCAGCCTTACTATCCTTCAAAATTCAAGAAAGGTGAAAGGCGATGTATGTCCTCGAAGAAAAAGAATACGATGTTCGACATATCATCTCAGAGCACGTACTCCTGGATACTTCATTCCAACAATGACAGCCCTGATGGTGACCACGACGTCAAACTGGTGACATCGACTTGGTTTAAGCTTTATTTGGTGTTGAGGATCATCCACAGTGGCGGGTCGATACCCGTCGAGGTGCCAGATATTTCCCAGTTCCTGCTTTCCCCTTTTCAAATGAAGATATTTCTTCGTTCTTCCAACTACTGAGGTTGAAGTTTGTAGTAAGACACAGAAACCGAATATGGAGAGCAGTTTATTTGTCGCCTCGTTTCGAATAATGAACCTGTGACCCGGAAAGTGTGGGGTCGGCATCTGCTACATCCGAGCACTCGACCCCAGACGAACCTGCAACAAGCCCGACCCTCCCCTCCACCAATCTGAGTTGACCAAGGCAGTTGGCGGAAAGATGCCTCAACCGTCGTTTGGGTCGATTAACAATTTGTGTTCTTCGCCTCGCAAGAACCGCTTGTGTTGCGACATGCAGGAGAAGGTGAAAGAGAGTTTGAGACCAGGACAGCTGGAATAGATTTGCACGCCCAAATGCGCTACATTTTACGCTTGTAGATCCATTGGGATATTTATTGAGTTTACTTACCTACATTTATCGAGCTAACAGATTGAGATCTCGGTGCTTGCATCATCTTGGAGTGAAGTGAACTGTAGAGGGGCCTGCTCCACCACTGCCTCATTACTATATATACTCTCCCCTGCGTGATTCCACTCACGGACGACTGCATACAACGCATGTGTTTTGTCCGCGGACGATTTCACTGGATACTTCCGCATTCCCCCGCTCGCACCGGCATTTGCTGAAGGCTATCTAGTTCTTGCTATTCGCCTCATGACCGCAGCCACCAAAACCAAACATCACCTTACCACTGCTCAAACCACGTCCTCAGCAAACATGGTCGTCCCACCTGTCTTCAGAGGCCTAACCAAGCAGATAGACCAGTTAGTCGAGCAACCACTCTTGGGACCGAAAACAGAGTTCCCCACTCGTGCGTAGCATTCATCTTCCGAACAATAAGCGGTCAGCTGATATCCTTAAAGCTGGATTCGCATTCGCGCGAAAATATGGACCAGGAAATACCCGTCCGCAAGCTATCGCCCATCGTGGTTACAAAGCGAAGTTTCCGGAAAATACGATGGGTGCTTTCAAAGGAGCTGTGGAGATTGGAGCGCAAGCCATCGAGACAGATGTACACTTGTCGAAAGACGGTGTAGTGGTGTTGTCACACGTAGGCTGCAATTTAGCAGACCTCCTTATCGTATGCTGATTGGAACCAGGACGCCAATCTGAAAAGATGCTTTGGGAGAGAGGAGAAAGTTATCGATTGTGACTGGGAATTCTTAAGCCGACTACAGACCTTAAAGGAACCTCACCAGCATATGCCTCGCCTTTTTGACCTGCTGGTTTACCTTGCACAACCAGGACTGGAAGATATTTGGGTCCTGCTCGATATTAAGGTATTCCAGCCTGGATCTATACCATACACCCACTAACCAGTGGATACAGCTCGACAATGACCCTAAAGAACTGATGCGTCTCATCGGCTCCACGATTCAGTCTGTCAAGCCTTCCCCCAATCGACCATGGTCTTCCCGTATCGTGCTTGGCATTTGGGCAGCAAAGTACCTTCCTCTCTGCTCCGAGTACCTTCATGGCTTCCCAGTCACTCATATAGGGTTCTCGATTCTTTACGCTTCGCACTTCCTCAAAGTCCCCAAAGTCTCGTTTAACCTCCTCTTGAGCGTCCTAATGACACCTTGGGGTAGAGCCTTTATCAAGAAAGCGCATACTCAAAAGCGACCAGTGTTCGGATGGACCGTCAATGATAAGAGATGGATGCGCTGGGCCATTAAGCATGGAATCGATGGCGTGGTTACGGATGATCCAAAGTTATTCCTGGAAGTAAGGAGGGTGTGGCATGACGCAATGACGGCGGATGTTGGTCTGAGGGGATGGTTGGACGTCCTCAGGATATATCTGTTTACTGTGATATTTGCGCTGTACTTTAAGTTGGAGATGGTATTTCAAAATTGGAGAATAACCAGGAACCGAGTTGAGATAGCTGAGGATCGAAGCGACTTGGTAAGATATTCCCTGTGAATATGTAGAGTAGTTAGGTTTCTATAATCCATGTGTAAATGAGGTAATTCGTGAGTGTCTGTTATTCATTCGAATCACGAATACGTTTTCATAGGTCCAATAGGATACGGAGCCCTTAAACTAAATTAATTTCGGATGATAGCAAATAAACTTCCTTTTGGTCAAGTCGAACTACAAAGATTCCACGTTCTTAGATAGGAGGTAGAAGTTCCGAGTAAATAATTTACAGCCTTGGGAGCATTTACCGTTTGGATTTCCGCTCCCACATTGAATGTTGGCATCTAGAAGAAGAATAATTATTATTATAATAGGATTATGAATCCGCTTGAATGGTTCAGGCATAGAGAAACAAATCTCAGTCAAGTGAAGTGTCCCTCTGGTGGTTGGTTATCATCAGGAAAAGGACTCTAACGATAACTCCAAATTTTGGAGACGACGCGCCGCCCGAGCTTTCCCCGCAACGCGTCAACGACATCCCATCAACCTTAAGACCACAACTTCAAAATGCCCAGGTAAGTCTGCATGATCTGAATAGCAGGCCACAGTTCTAAATGTTTCTCTAGGGAAATCATAACGTTACAAGCTGGCCAGTGCGGTAACAGCAGTACGTGGACCTCTTTCACCCGCTAACACTACGATATCTTTCCCAAACAACTTCGTGTTCAACTTAGAACATAGCCCTGCTTTACCTTTAGATCAATGAATAATACTAACATCGTCATAATCAACAGTTGGCCAACAGTTTTGGCAACAGCTATGTCAAGAGCACGGGATCAACCAGGACGGGAATCTTGAAGACTTCGCGACTGAAGGTGGAGATCGGAAGGACGTATTCTTCTACCAGGTAGGATGGTGGCATATAAATTAGGAAGAGCATAGTGAGCTGACGTATATCTAGTCCGACGACACCCGTTATATCCCTCGAGCCATCCTCCTCGACTTGGAACCCCGCGTCCTTCACTCCATCCAAAACAGCCCCTACAAGAACATCTACAACCCAGAAAACTTCTACATCCACAAAGATGGGACTGGAGCGGGAAACAACTGGGGAGCGGGTTACTCGATGGGCGAGTCAGTTCATGAAGAGGTTATCGATATGATCGATCGAGAGGCGGACGGCAGTGATTCGCTGGAGGGATTCATGTTGCTCCATTCCATCGCCGGTGGCACTGGATCGGGTATGGGCAGTTTTCTCCTTGAGAGACTGAATGACAGGTTTCCCAAGAAGTTAATACAGACATACTCTGTATTCCCAAATATGCAGGATTCAGATATTGTGGTTCAGCCATACAATAGTTTGCTTTCGTTGCGGAGATTGACACAGAATGCAGACTCTGTAGTAAGTCTAGCATGCCACTTCCCAATTTTCTAAGTGCTAACCATCCAGGTTGTCCTTGATAATGGGGCTCTATCCCGCATCGCGGCGGATAGACTGCATGTACAGAACCCTTCGTTCCAACAGACAAATCAACTCGTCTCCACCGTCATGTCAGCAAGCACAACGACCCTCAGATACCCTGGCTACATGCACAACGATCTTGTCGGCATTGTCGCCTCACTCATTCCAACACCCCGCTGTCATTTCCTGATGACCTCATATACGCCGTTCACCGGCGAGAACGTAGAGCAAGCGAAAACAGTGCGTAAGACTACTGTCTTAGACGTCATGAGGCGGTTGCTGCAGCCAAAGAATCGAATGGTGTCTACCATCCCTACGAAGAAGAGCTGCTACATGTCGATACTGAACATCATCCAAGGCGAAGCCGATCCCACAGACGTACGTCAATATTCTCTTTCCTTACCTCCAGTCATGTGACCAAACACCATACTAACATCCCCTCCAGGTCCACAAATCCCTCCTCCGCATCCGCGAGCGCCGTCTCGCAACCTTCATTCCATGGGGCCCTGCCTCCATCCAAGTTGCCCTCACTCGCAAGTCTCCCTATATCCCTTCCTCGCACCGTGTCTCCGGCCTCATGCTCGCCAACCACACGGGCATCGCCACGCTCTTCAAGCGCATCATCTCTCAGTACTCTACGCTGAGAAAGCGAAATGCGTTTTTGGAGCCGTATAAAAGGGAGGCACCGTTTTCGGATGGATTGGGCGAGTTTGATGAGGCGAAGGAGGTGGTACAGGGACTGATTGATGAGTATGAGGAGGCGGAGGGGGCGGACTATTTGAGTAAGGAGGGGGGCGAGGCGGTGAAGGATGGGGAATAAACGCAAAATAGGTACGTGAAGCTTTACGGGCAGGCTTGCATGCATTCTAGGTAGTAGGTTTGACATTCGGAGTTCTCACGTGACCCGGCGTTCACTGGTCATAGTTCCACTTTTAGGTCTTCGCAGGGAGGGAATAATGATACCAATACACTAATGAAATTATTCCCTTGAAGATCCTCGGGCACCTGTCTGTGAATGTATTGACCGCTGTTCGGTGCAGTGGCCTTGTAAGTGCGTCCGGAGCGGTCTCCGTATACCGGACACTCCCATCCACCTGCAGATTGTACGGAAATCATCTTGATAGATATGAACGGTACGACATAGCCTCGATCCCCGATGGACATTGTGAGATGTTGGTGCAGGAAGATGAGAGTATTACTAAGACGGGTGTGTTGGAGGGACTCGTCTTTTGATAGGTAAGAGTGCCGCCGAACATGCGTATCAACTCGTATCTAACCGACGTCAGACTCCTCAAGTGCCCACGTTTCATACCGAAGGAACTGGGCCCATAGTAGATGAGTTC